AAATTTTTTTTTTTTGCTTTGATCGAAGATTCAAAATACTGATGTAGTTGATGACAAAAACAAAACTAATGTAAAACATTTACATTTGTTTTTTTGTATCTCAAGGTCACGAATAAAAATATAAAACATACTGTATAAGGCTTTTTCAAAATCATGAATTCAAACCTTGACAATAGAAAAAACTAATTTAACATATATTTTGTCTTCCGCGAAGAGATATAATGGACCAAAGATTGAAGATTTCTTAGTTAAAAACATCTACATTCAAAGACACAAAACGAATTTTATTTTCTGTAATCGTCTAATCTTCAAGATTTTTTTTTGGTATCATCACTTTAATTTGTTTTCATATATATTTTTTGTATACAAATAAAATACAATGTTAAATAAACTTTTGGTATTTTTTTCTTATTACTTTTTGTAAAAATAATAAGTAATTGGGAGTCGACCCGATTAATTAGACGTTTAAACAAAAACAAATCTATAATTTCTGTTAAATAATTTTTTTTTAAAACCGGTTTGGCCAAAATCAGGGCGTTGGATAGTTTTAGGCGTCTAAACGGACAATTTTAAGAACATTGAATCAAATGTCTTTAAAGTGGCTTTAAATGTACTTTAATTAATCAACTAAAGTAAACTTCATGGTGCAAATTGTTTGGAAACGATTTGAGTCATGAAAATGAGGGATTTATAACGAACATTTTCCTCAGTTTTCTACGAAAAAAAGCGATGTGAATATTTACTAAACTTCTTTCAACAAATACCTCTTTGTCTCCTTCTCTCATATCTCTATAAATATAAGCACTTTTGCATTCTCCATGACACATCACTCATTTATTTCCTCATCATTCTTTATACGTCAAACCCAACCTTAATCTAACTTTCAGAGAATCCATCAAAAAACAAAATGTATGAGAAGATCATAATCTTATTAACAATTCTCTTAACGTCTCTTCCTTCTTGTTTCAGCAGCTACCCATTTGATCAACGAGATGATCCTTTCATTTCTTCCAATGTTTATCATCAAACCAGCCATCTACAGGGTCACATAACACGCAACAGCCACGCGAAAAATCGTCATGGTTATGCTCCTAGATCTTCTCCAAAAGCTTTTAACGTCAACACTTTCGGTGCTAAAGCCAATGGAAACGACGATTCTCAAGTACCCTTTTGATCCGTATCATTTATTTCTAAATATGTAATCAAATTTCTTATAATCAATGTATAAATGAAAATATGTTTGATCATCATAGGCATTCATGAAAGCTTGGGAAGCAGCTTGTTCATCAACCGGAGTAGTTTACGTCGTGGTTCCAAAGAAAAGAGATTACATTCTTAAACCGGTTAAGTTCTCCGGTCCATGTAAATCTTCATTGATTATTTTTAAGGTATGATAATAAATTAATGCAAGTATTAGGTTTAATTATTATTGTATAATGTTTCTTCATCTTATAATTGTTTTGTGTGTTTGTGGGACTTAGATTTATGGAAATATTGAGGCATGGACAGATCCATCAGACTACAAGGACCGTAGGCATTGGATTGTGTTCGAGGGTGTCTATAACCTTCGCGTTGAAGGTGGTGGACGCATCGACGGTAATGGAAAGATTTGGTGGCCAAATTCTTGCAAGATCAACCCTCAACTTGTAAGTTCTTCTTAACTTGGATCAATGTAAGAAAAAAAACTTATGAAACTGACTTATTAAACATTAAATGCCATTTATTTTGTTAAACAGCCATGCCTAGGAGCTCCAACGGTGAGAACCTCAAACGCCCTTTACTTTATTTCCGATTTTAGTTTCAGTTCTGATAGCTACTTATAAATTATAAATATAATACTTTGGGCTATATATTAATGATTAAATTTAATGTAATGAAATAAATGGGCAGGCGGTTACGTTTGTGGAGTGTAACAATTTGAGAGTAAGTAACATTAGGTTGGAAAACGCACAACAAATGCATTTGACGTTTCAAGATTGCAAAAACGTAAACGCTTTGAATCTTATGGTTACATCTCCGGGTAATAGTCCTAACACCGACGGTATTCACGTTACCGGAACTCGTAATATCTTAATTCAAGACTCTATCGTCCGTACTGGTAATCCTTTATAAAACTCTTTTATCACGTTCTTTGTTTCAATCTAAGTGTACACTTTTTTTACGAAAATTAAGAAATGAACTACAAATGTTCCCTTTATAGTATTCTTACAAAATATAGTTAGCTCTTAAACTTTACCTTTGTTAGTTCATATAGTATTAAATATCCTCATTAAATAAAATAAATATCTTCATTCAAGAATCTCTCTCTCTTTCTATGATTAATTCATGTAGTATAAAATAGCAATGAGCTATAATAATATGTGTTTGTTTAATAGTGGATAATAGATAGTAATGTGTTGGGTTTGTATTTGGTGATGAAGGTGATGATTGTATATCGATAGTGAGTGGGTCGGAGAATGTGAGAGCGACGGGCATTACTTGCGGGCCGGGTCATGGAATCAGGTCTAACCATCTCTCTCCCTAATTTCACCTAATTTTTAATTATTTGTCAACTAACTGTTTTTCTTTGTTGGAAATACTACCAACTTAATTCAGAGAACTAAACACAACGCCCAA